GAGAGAGAGAGAGAATTTTTAATATTTATTTTTTAGTTCTTGGCGGACACAACATCTTTGTTGGTATGTGGTGCTGAGGATCGAACCCGGGCCTCACGCATGCCAGGCGAGCGCGCTACCGCTTGAGCCACATCCCCAGCCCTTGATTGAGCTTTGATCCACTGTAGAATCCAGCAGCTTGGTGGAGCCTCAGGAAGACGTGTGTCCAATCCTCTGCCACTGGGGAGTGACTGTTCCGAATCACTAGGATTGGGCACTGGTTTTTCACTTATTTACAGCTCCCTACCCAGGACTTAACGTCCACTGTTGTTTTGTTCCTTATGCTCTTTTTTATTTCTCCCATACCCAGGTTGAACCCAGGGGTATATAACCACTGAGCATACATCCAGCCCTTTTTATATTTTATGTAGAGATAGGGCCTTGCTAAATTGCTGAGGCTGGCTTTGAACTCATGGTCCTCCTGCCTCAGCCTCCCCATCCACTGATGTTATCACCAGCGTGTTTCACGGCTGTGGGACTGTGTTGAATTTTTCCTATGACGATCATTTTTAGGTTTCCAGTTCTTTTGATATTCTAAGGAGCCTTCTGCAGAGATCCTGGCAGTTCTGGAGTTAGCATGTGCTGTTGGGCCATGGTGCCGACCATGGATGGCTTCAGGAGGGGTTGATGGGCTTGCCGGGGGTTGGATTTGGGGTGGTGAGAGAAAGGGAGGGACCAAACTTACCTTTCATATTTTACAACTGTGTTAGGGTTTCTAAATTTAGAAATGATGAAAAATGTACATAGTTTTCACTGTTTCTTAAAGTTTACATTGTTATATTTCAGATTTCAACTTTCCAGATTAATGCTGAATATTTTGCCTTGAAATCTGTTGGCATCAGAAAAGAGAAAAAGAAAAGATCACTTAATTTAAGTGTGAGTGCCCTGTCAGCCCTGGAGGAGTTGGTCAGCGTTTCTTCTGGTGAGTATGTTTTGGTAAATTTGGGTGTTGTCCACTGAAGCTTCAGAGGACTCCTGCTTGTGATTAAAGGACTGAAGAAGACTACTAATTCCAGCCCTGTGTGTTTTCACCTCCAGAAGAAGCAGATGGCTGCCCTATTGTTCTGGTCTGTGGCGCCCAGGACGTTGGAAAGTCAACATTTAACAGATACCTGATTAACCAGTTGTTAAATAGGTAAGAGTGCCTTTATTCTCTTGCTAGAGTTTAGGCAGGTTTTTTTTTTTAAGAGAGAGAATTTTTTTTTTTTTTAATATTTATTGTTTAGTTTTTGGTGGACACAACATCTTTATTTTATTTGTATGTGGTGCTGAGGATCGAATCCACCGCCGCATGCATGACAGGCGAGCATGCCAGGCAAGCATGCCAGGCAAGCATGCTACTGCTTGAGCCACATCCCCAGCCCTAGGCAGGATTTTTTATTGGAACAGTATGTCGGAACCTCGTCCTGCCTTCTCTATGGAGATTTGTACAAGGCTGTGCAGAGCTGCTTGCTGACAGTGATGCACTGGGAGTGCAGTGACCTTGAGGCTGCAGGCTGGGCTCGGACTGCCCTAGGGCCTGTGGGTGACTGGCGAGGGTGGGCACTTGGTCTCTGGATGTTTGTGGAGCTGAGGTACAGAGAGTCAGAGTGGGGATGAGTAGTTTTGAAGCTGGAATCGTGAAGAGGCCAAGTCGCACATCTGCTGTGCAAGGTCACTGACGGCAGGCCTGCGCTTGGTGGTTGTCTCTTGGAGCATTCTGCCTGAAATTGCTGCATGGCGTGCATTATGACTGTGTCATGTGGAACTCTGACTATCTGATTGCTCCTTTCCACAGAGTAAAACTAGTTGAGATTTTCTTTCTTTTCCTTTTTAAACATTTTCAGTATTTCCTGCCTTGACTATCTGGAATGTGACCTGGGCCAGACTGAATTCACTCCTCCGGGTTGCATCTCTTTGCTTAATATTACGGAACCAGTTCTGGGTATGTATTATGTAATTCTTCATTGTCTTGGTTTCATAAAATTCAAAAATAATGATATCTGCCCAAAACTCAGTCTTACATATAGACTAGAGAAAGTGAGCGCACTCCACCAAACCCAGGTCTCTGCATAGCCACACCTCCAGCCTCCACACACCCATTAGGGCGAGTTTCTGTTTGGGGAGTGGAATTGCTCCTTATTTTGCTTTGTGTAAATTAATATCAGCACACTTGTCCTGATATTAATGTTTTATGGGACCTTCTACAACTCTCTAAACCAAGAAATGCACAGTGGTGCAGTGCAGATTTCAGTCAGAATTCACCAGTTACCTGGTTCAGAATCCAGTATGGAATTCCTTGTTGCTTTATTTTAATAAAATATACAATGGCTAAAATGATGAAAATGTGTTCATCATTTTAGCCATTTGTATGTATAATTCAGGGGCATAAAGTCCATATACAATGTTTTGTGACCCTCAACTCTGTGTATCAAACTTTTTAATTATTTCAGTGTGAAATGCTATACTCATTGAACAGAAATCCCCTCCTCCCTTGTCCCCTAGTTTCTGATAGGTTCCCTCTACTTCCTGTCTATGAATTCTCCTATTGCAGACCCTGTATGAGTGGAGCCTTGCAGTGCCTGTCCTGCTGTCATCTGGCTTGTTTTGCTCAGCATTGTGTTTGCAGGGTCCTTCCATGTTGGCTGTGTATCAAAATTCAGTTCCTTTTTTACAACTGAATATTACTCCATTCCACTTGTTTTTCTACTAGTTTTTCCATGCAGCCATTGGTGGACGCTTGGGTTGTTTCCATGCTTTGGCTGTTGTGGAGAGTGCCATTAGGAACATGAGGCACTGGTTCCCGTTCAAGGCTCTGCTTTCACTTTTTTGTGACTTTATATTTAACCTTGTGTTTATTAGCCATTTTGGGGGAGGTGGAGTACCAGGGATTGAACCTGGAGGCATTTTAACACAGAGCCACATCCCCAGTCCCCCCCCCCCTTTTAAGTTGTAGGTGGACACAATGCCTTTATTTTTATTTATTTATTTTTATGTGGTGCTGAGGATCAAACCCAGTGCCTTACCTGTGCTAGGCGAGCGCTCTACCACTGAGCCACAACCCCAGCCCCTTAAAAAAAATAATATATATATTATATAATATATATATATAATATATATATTTACAAATAGAGGTAGGGTCTCACTGAGGTGCTGAGGGATTGTTAATACTGACTTTGAACTTATGATCCTCCTGCCTCAGCCTCCTAAGCCACTGGGGTTACAAGTATGCGCCATTGCACCTGGCCTCCGCTCTTTTTATTTTGAAACAGAGCCTCACTAAGTTGCTGAGGCTCTCCTTGAGTTGCATTCCTCTTGCCTCAGCCTCCAGAGTTACTGGGGTGAGAGGTTTGTGCCACTGTTCCTGACCATTTGTAAATCTTTGAGTACATGTCTATTGAAGTCCTTAAATACAGCTTTTTTTTTTTTTTTTTTTTTTTTTTTAACCAATGCTTGAACCCAGGGGCACTTATAATCACTTAGCCACATCCCGAGGTTTTTTTTGTATTTTATTTATTTGGAGACGGTCTCACTGAGTTCTTCAGGGCCTTGCTGAGTTGCTGAAGCTGGCTCCGAACTCATGCTCCTCCTGTGCCCCTGAATATTACAGGCAGCTGAAGATTGCATTTTTTCAATTGGGTTCTTTATTTCTATGGCATTTAGAAGTTGTCAAATCTAGTGTCATGAAGCTTTTGTTTTCTAAGAATGTTTTCATTCTGACTCTCAAGTCTAAAATCTTTGTTATGCTTAGAATTTGTATTTGCATAGTGTAAGGAACAGGTCCATGTTGGTTGTTTCTTTTTTTTTTTAGGTTCAAACAGCAATAAGTTTTGAAGTTAGGTCAGGTCCTTTATCCATTTAAGAAAATTTCCTTTCTGGTGCCAGGATCTAACCCAGGGCCTATATCTATCTGCAAAGCAAGAGCAAGCCATCTGCCACTGAGCTTCATCCCCAGACCCTACATGGTTTTTTATTAACACATAGAAATGCTATTGATTTTTTTTTTTTTAATGTTGATTCTGTGTCCCACAACATTATTGGATTTATTTTCTGATGGTGCTTTTTGGTGGAATCTTGTGGGTTTTCTACATGTAAGATCATGGCAGTGTATAAGGTCAAGTCAGCTAGTCAGCTGTAAGTAGAGACAGCCTCACTTCCTCCTTTCCTGTTGGGTGCCTGGTGATCAGAGCTAGGACCCCCAGAGCTGTGTAGACAAGAAGTATGAGTCAACTTTATTCTTTTTTTTTTTAATATATATTTTTTTTAGTTGTAGATAGACACCATACTTTTATTTTATTTATTTATTTTTATGTGGTGCTGAGGATCAAACCCAGCACCTCGTTCATGCTAGGCAAGCACTCCACCACAAAGCCACAACCCCAACCCCCAGCTTTATTCTTTTTAAGATTGTTTTGGCCTTTGGAGGTTCCTTGTAATTCCAAATGAATTTGAAGATCAGCTTTTTCATTTCTGGGGGAAAGTCTGTTAGAAATTAATTTGTGAGGGGCTGGGATTATAGCTCAGTGGTAGAGCAGTTGCCTCACATCTGTGAGGCACTGGGTTCATTCTCAAGCACCACCGGGTTAGTTTCCCAGCACCACATAAAAACAAACAAACAAGTAAATAAATAAAATATTTAAGATATTGTGTCCATCTACAATTAAAAAAAAAAAAAGAAATTGATATGTGATGCTAAGAATTGAACCCAGTACCTCACCCATGCTGGGCAAGTGCTCTACCACTGGGCCACAACCCAGCCCCTAACCTCCCTAATCTCTGGCTGTCTCCTTAGACTCACTTGTTCTGGAGCGCCCCCCTCCCCGCCAACCTGACTGCCTCCCTAGTCTAGGCTCCACACCCTGTTGACTCTAGGCCAGCTCTTGGTCCTAAACTTTTCTGAGCTATTCCTTACTTTCTTGGAAAACAAAATGTTCCAGGGTGTCTCCCCCCACACCCTATGCTAGGGTGGAACCCATCTTCTTGAGCTTGATAAGCTATTGAGCCATACCCCCAGCCCTCAGAGGTGAGCTTTTTTTCTCTATCCTAGGCTTAGAATGAGAGGACCAAAAATTCCTATACCTTTTCTTGGGGAGGGGGTACCAGGGATTGAATTGAGGAGCACTTGGCCACTGAGGCACATCCCCCAGCCCTATTTTGTATTTTATGTAGAGACAAGGTCTCACTAAGTTACTTAGCGTCTCACTATTGCTGAGGCTGGCTTTGAACTCTTTTTATTTTAATTTCTTAGTTGTACATGGACATACTTTATTCTTTTAATGTGGATCGAACCCAGTGCCTCACATTTGCTAGGCAAGCACCCTACCACTGAGCGACAATTTCAGCCCTGGCTTTGAACTCTTTGATCCTCCTGTCTCAGCCTCCTGAGCTGCTAGCATTACATACATGCACCATCAGGCCCGGCCTATACCCTTTTGGAGACTGGTATTTGAAAACCAGAGTTTGGCCAGGTACAGTGGTGCCAACTGTAATTCCTGAGACTTGGCAGATCAGGACAGGAGGATTACAATGTCGGAAGCTGGCCTTGGCAATTTAGCAAGATCCTTCTCAAAATAAAAAGTCCAGAGGTGTAATTCAGAGGTAGAGTGCCCCTGGATTCAATCCCTGATACCAAAAAAAAAAAAAAGGGAACCAAAGTCTTTCTGGCAGGTTGCTCCTTACCTCTGGGGCATCATTGCTTCTGCTTGTCACCAGTGGACATAGGTGTGTGTATGTCTGAGCCCCCAACATGTTTTAGGTGAATATATGTACATACATGTACAGGCAGACCTCTGTTGTGTGTGTGTGTGTGTGTGAAGAGCCATGAGTTTATGCCTGGCATTCTGATTCCAGCCTAACACTCGGGCTTCGTTCTGGTAGGCTCACTCCTTTAACATTTGCAGAATCTTTCTATAGTGGCAGGAACCCTGGCTGCGCTTACTCTCAGTGTGTCACACTCAGTCCCTCTGTGTCTTCATCTTCTACTGCACAGTGCCCCCCAGCTGGGGCTGTGAGCACTCTGGCCTCACCCGCTGAATCCCAGCTCTTGCATCATGGCTACACGGCCATGATGGAGAATCTCTATCCCACGTGGCCTTGTATTACCCACGTGAACCAGGGCTTAGTCTTGACCTGGGCACCATGTGCTCCTGGTCACCACCTCCCACCTGGTCACCAGCTGATGGCTAGCTATACTGGCCCTGGCCTCCTTGGCTATACTCTCTGTCCCTGAGCAGAGGAGACAAAGTGACTGAGCTGGACTGTTGAGCATTGTAGTGGAGCTTTGGAGCTGAGCTGCCCGAGTTCCCGCCCAGCTTGGCATCGCCGGCTCTCTGATTTCAGTCTCTTCATCCCTTCCTGTTTCCTCATCTAAAAGTGGGGATCTTGCCACTGCTCACTGCAGGGCTTTTGTGAAAGTTGGGGAACTATGAGCAGAGCAGTCAGCTGGGTATCCAGGAGCATTGCTGGGGGTCCATCCTCACCCTCTCAGGAGGGGATCCCTGGGCATAGGGAAGGCTTCTCTTTGCCCACAGGGCATCCCAATGAGGGGAGCCAGGTCAGCAGGCAGCAGATGTTCAGCAGCTGGGTGAACGAATGGCCACAGAGGGCATCATTGATAACTATATGGTAAAAGTGAGCCTGTCTTCAGGTTCAGATGAAAGTTTACTCTTCCAAAAATGGAACCACAGCTGTTCTGTTGTGTGCTTTGGATGGTTGCTCTCCAGCTGTGTCCCTAACCTGGCCTGTTACTCTGCTCTTCATCTTTCAGGACCACCGTTCACCCACCAGAGGACACCACAGAAGATGGTGTATTATGGGAAACCTTCTTGTGAGAACAACTACGAGAATTATATTGAGATAATAAAATACGTGTTCAGCTCTTATAAGAGAGAGTGCCCGCTCATCATCAACACTATGGGCTGGGTGACAGGTAATGAGTGGCAGGGGGAGCGTGACCAGCCTGAGCAGCACATGGGTGTGGGTGCCGTGGGTGCTCGATGAGCCCATGCTGTGCACGTGCAGGCCAGGGTGGGCTAGCTGCCTCCCCAGACCTCAGCGTTTCTTTGTGCTGAAAACATTTTAATAGCTTTTCTTCTAGCTTTTTTGAAATACATGCATGGTACGTTGTCCTTATTAATAGTCACCCTGTTGTGCATTAGAAGGTCAGAATTCATTTGTTCTATGGAGGGAACATGCCTGTTGACGAGCCCTTCCTTGTCCCTTCCTCCCTCTTCTCCTCAGCCTCTTGTCACCACCTTTCCACTGTCAACTTTTTTTCTTTTTGGTATTGGGAATTGAACCCAGAGGCCCTCAACCACTAAGCCACATACCCAACCTTTTTATTTTTTATTTTGAGACGTGGTCTCACTAAGTTGCTGAGGATGTCTATGACCTTGTGATCCTTCTGCCTCAGCATCCTGAGCCACTGGGATTACAGGGGTGCCGTTCTTATTTTTTGAGGAATTTCCATAATTTTTTTTTTTTTTTTTTTTTGGTGGCTTGACAAAGAAGCCGCACTGCTGACAGGTTACCTCTGTGGGTGCATGCCCACACACAAATGTTTTTTTTTTTTTTTTTGGTGCTGGGGGTTGAACCCAGGGTCTTGTGCATGGAAGGCCTGCACTCCACCAGCTGAGCTGTATCCCCAGCCCCTGCTATTATAATTTGCATTCCCACCAACTGTGTGCCAGGGTTTCCTTTTTTTCTATATCTTTGCTAGCATTTTTGGCAGGTTTTTGTTTGGGGATTGAACACAGACATGCTCTACCACTGAGCTGCATCCCCAACCCTTTTTATTATTTTTTATTTTGAGACAGGGACTCACTAAGTAGCCCAGGCTGGCCTTGAACTTGAGATCTTCGTGCCTCAGCCTTCCAAGTAGCTGAGTAGCTGGTATTATAGGTGTGTGCCACCTTGCCTCCCTTTTTTTTTTTTTTAAGAGTGAGAGAGGAGAGAGAGAGAATTTTTAATATTTATTTTTTAGTTCTCAGCGGACACAACATCTTTGTTGGTATGTGGTGCTGAGGATCGAACCCGCGCCGCACGCATGCCAGGCGAGCGCGCTACCGCTTGAGCCACATCTCCAGCCCTTGCCTCCCTTTTTTGTTGTTTGGATAATAGCTGTTCTGTCAGAAGAGATGTCTCACTGTGGTTTTGGTTTGCGTTTCCCTGACAACTGGTAATGTCATGCATTCTTCCATCTACACCTGTTGGACATTTGGATATCATTTGAGGAGTGTCTAATTATTTTTTTGTTTATTTTTGGGGCTAGTACCAGGGATTGAACTCAGGGGTACTTGGCCACTGAGCCACATCTTCAGCTCTGTTTTGTATTTATTTAGAGACAGGATCTCCCTGAGTTGCTTAGCACCTCACTTTTGCTGAAGCTGGATTTGAACTTGCAATCCTCCTGTCTAAGCCTCCTGACCACTGGGATTAGAGGCGTGTGCCATCATGCCTAGCTTGTTTTGTTGTTGTAGTTGTTTTGTTTTTGTTTTTTGCAGTAGTTGGACTAGACCCTAGACTCATGCTAACCAGCTGCTGTACCACTGAGCTACACCCCTAGCCCTTTTGCCCATTTTTAGTTTGTTTTGGATGCACTGGGATTGGACCCAGGGCCTCACACATGCTCAGCAGCCACTCTAAAGCTGCATCCCCAGCCACTATTGCTTATTTGTAATCAGATTACCTGGGGATTTTTCTTTTTCTTTGCTTGAGCTCCTTATATATTCTAGATGAAAAATATCCAGTTATCCATCTTTTTGTTTTCTGGGTTTTTTTGAAGGAGGTACTAGGATAGAACTCGGGGGCCCTTTACCACTGAGCCCCACCCCTTTTTAGTTTGAGATGGTATCTCACTAAAGGCTGGCCTTGAACTTCCCTTCCTCCTGCCTCAGCCTCCCAGATCGCTAGGGTTGCAGGCATACACCATTGTGCTCAGCAGCAAGCTGATGGTCTCTTTGCCTAGGGTGACTGTCTCTGTTTCTGGTTGGAATGGGGCTCCCCTCTAATCCCCAGCTGTGCTCACATCATCTCCTTCCTCACAGACGAAGGGCTTCTGCTGCTCATTGACCTGATCCGGTTGCTGTCTCCCACCCACGTCATTCAGCTCAGCTCTGCCCGGAGTAAACAGATGGCCAACCTCACCCCGGATTATGTGGATGACATGGATGGCTTGTATACAAAAAGCAAGTCCAAAGTTAGGAACCGTGGCTATGAACTTCCAGAATTTGCAGATAATTTGGAATTTGCTGACGAAGATAAAGAGAGTTCAGTTTTTTTTACTGGACATAAACTTATATGTGTTTATTCAGAATTTTCACCCAGAAAATCTTCAAGGAATAGGTAAGTAAACCATCTGGCTGAAGAGCTGTTTCCTTCGATTGAATGAGGCATTTTGTTTTCACTTCCTTAGAAGGATAAGGCCACAAAAACTTTTCATATCTGGCCTGAGGGTATGGCTTAGTGGTTGAGCATTTATCTAGCGTGCATGAGCCTGTGGGGTTCTATCTTCAGCATTACAAAAGCGAAATATTTTCAAATCTATCATATTATGCAGTTACTAAGGAGAATCCTTATTTTCTCAATTGAAACATCCATTGATGTCCTCCAGCTCTGTGCCAGTAGCTTTAGCTTAAGGAGAATCTTGAAGCTTATGTTTTCTAGCAGGGCTGTATCAAGGCAAGACTGAGGATATAAAGTGGGGGTGTCTTTGTGGGTGTGGTGCTGGGCTTGAACCTGGGTCTCATTTGTGCTGGGCAATTGCTGTACCACTGAGCAACACCCCAGCCCTAGGGAGGGCATGTTTTGGAAGAGCACAGCTCAGCTTGTTGTGTAAAAGCCACCTAGGCGGTGACCACACTTGAGTCTCTGCATGGACAGTGGATATGGAAGAAGTTACTTACATCCTTCTCATTTACCTTTGCAGGGAGTCACATAACAGAATTTTTCGAGAACTGGCAGTGTTAGGTTATCTTAGCCAGCTGATGCCCCCAGTGCCAAAACCACTCAGTCCTTTACATGGCCTGACGCCCTATCAGGTATTTGGGACACGTGGGAGAAATTGTCTGTTTCATTTTTCTTGTGGGAGAAATTGTCTGTTTCATTTTTCTTGTGACTTCCTACATGCTGTGCACCCTTAACTCTTGACTCATTTAAGTTAACCCCTTAACTCTGGGGTCATTTAATCCTAGGAACCACCTGTGATGTAGGTTCTATAATCATCTCTATTTCACAGGTGGAGAGTCTAAGGTGTACAGAGACTAGGGGACCCAGCAGAAAGTTAGCAAAGCTGGCACTTTACCCCTGCAGCCAGCTTGGTGCTGGGCGTTCACAGCTCCATGCCTGGTACTGGTGTTCTTGTGTTGTTCCTAATCCAGTGTCAGTTCCAACACTTGCATTCGTCAGCTGTGTGTGGCTGTGTGTGGGCAGTGTCAGATCACAGAAGGCTTGTAGGCAGCATTTCTTAAAGGAATGCTCTGTGCTCTGCTTTGTTTTAAGCCTGTTTTAACTCCCGTTCCTGTCCCCATTTTACAGATTGTGAGACCAAGGGACTTTGAGTTAGCTTGCCCACAGTAGCCTAGTACAAGTTTAGGTGGGCCTCAAGCCCAAACATGCCTGGAGAGCCCAGAGTCTACTCTGCTGAGTGGCCTGTCTGCTTTGGAGCAGCTACTCTGTGCCAGGTCCTTTACAGGGCCCCTCACATGGAATGACTGTGGCTACATGGTAGCCTGAGAGGAAAATGCCCTTAGTGTCCGCACTTAATAGCTCCAAAAGCTGCTTAGCCAGGTGGAGGCCCTGCCTAAGGTCACACAGGCAGTGTTGGCAGAGCTGGGTGGGCTTCCAAGTCTTCTCCACTAGACAGGCAGGTGGTTTGATGGGGTTTCTGTTCATGGGGTCATCTATTTGCTTGGAGATGACTCTGTAACTGAACTTGAAACTTACCTGCCAATAGTTTTATCACTTTTTTGATTTATATTTACTTTTCTTTTAGGGGGTGCAGGTACTACGGATTGAGCCCGGGGGCACTTTACCACTGAGCCACATCCCCGGCCTTTTTTATTTTTTATTTTGAGACAGGGTCTCCCTAGGTTGCTGAGGCTGGCCTGGAACTTGTAGTCCTCCTGCCTTAGCCTCCCAAAGAGCTAGGATAACAGGTTTACTTTTGAAGTCTAAATAATACATGTAAGAAAATAACTTTTCTACTTTAAAATTTGAAATTACCTAGAAAGTTGCATGTGTTTCATTTACCTTGTGCTCTAGGAATGTGGTCCATCCCACTTCCTGTACTGTGTTTAGGTTAGGAAGCGTATGGAGCCTGTCTCGGGATTGCTTCTCACTTTCTTACATCAGAACACTCAGTGGATAGATCTTACTTATACTTGGCTGGAAGTCTCCCTCTGCTTTAACTGATTTAGGACATCTTCAAGTTTGAATTTATTTGTATCTGTAGATAGGAAAGTGCTGGGGATTCAGTTTAGATTTGTAGCAGGTGTGCTGGTGCACAAGCACTGTGTGTATGTTAGGGTCTTTATTAAAGCATGCAGCCATGGCCAAGTACTGGCTAGTGCTTCATTTGTTATTTTGGTGGGCAGTTTGGCAAATGTAGATGGCAAGTCAGCTTGTGAAAATTAAAAATAGTTTTTTGAAATAAAAAGTAATAGAAGACTTCACATTTATTTTCCAGGTCCCTTTCAATGCAGTTGCCCTCCGGATTACTCATGCTGATGTCGCCCCCACTCATATACTGTATGCTGTGAATGCCAGCTGGGTTGGCCTTTGCAAGATCCTGGATGATGTCAGAGGCTACACAAGGGGGCCCATCCTGCTGGCACAGACTCCCATCTGTGACTGTTTGGGGTTTGGTGAGTTCAGAGTAAAGCTTGTCCCTAACATTGCTATAAAGGTCCTACTTCAGCCATAGATGATTGGTCTTGACATTGTTGCTGTCTCTCAGCTAAAGAGGTCTGAAAAAACATTGCATTTTTTTTCCTTCTCCTCGCAGCTCCTCTGTGTCTAGAATTCCCACTGGCCTTGACCTGGCCCTCTCCCTGGACACCTTTCCCAAGGCCATCCCATCTACTGCTGGGACTTCTCCATCTTTGGATTGACTGCTCCCACACTACACTTCCACCATGACTAGTCTGCCTTCCAAACCCCTTTGCAAGTAGACACCTCCCCATGGGGGTTTTCTGTCCAACTGAGGCTCTGGTGTTAGTCAGACCCCTTGCCCTACCTGGGCTCCCCTCACCGCATCCGGCACCTCCAGTCCATTGGCGGTTCTTACGGTTTCTATTTTCAAAATATGTGTGGTTCCTGCCCATCTTTTCCCAATGCAGCCAGGCACTGCATTTCCACAGGGGCTATTGGGAAAGCTTAGCTGGAGTCTCCTAGTTCCTTTCTTCAAGCCCTCCTCAAAGTCAGGTGACCTGAATGCAGAGGTGATGCCACTGCCCCTTTTCCATCTTCACCTCATGGAATGCTCCAGCTCAGAGGTTGATGATGTCAGCATGCAGTTTTGGAAGGCTAAGTAACCCACAATTATCAAAATCCTTAAATAATTAAATGTACATTTCAGGTCTGTCCAGCATTACTTCTCAAAAGCATTTCCACAGAAATCATGCAGTTTGGTACCAAGTACAGGGAAGAAAGCAGTGATGGGGAAAGGTAGAGTCCTGTCTCATCTTCGGGGTGCTTCTCAGCTTGGTTACAATAGTCCATGGCTTTTGCAGTAGCTCATTTTGGTTCCTAACAGCTGAATAGGGAACGGTGCAGAGTTTTTGAGTTGCACTTTGTATTCTCTTTTTTTTTTTTTTTAAAGAGAGTGAGAGAGAGGGGGGGACAGAGAGAGAGAGAATTTTAACATTTATTTTATTTTTTCTTAGTTCTTAGTGGACACAACATCTTCGTTTGTATGTGGTGCTGAGGATCGAACCCGGGCTGCACGCACTAGGCGAGCGCGCTACCGCTTGAGCCACATCCCCAGCCCCACACTTTGTATTCTCAAAGCTTAATACACTTAAAACTGAAACTTGTTTTCAAGGCCATTCTACAGTTTTTGTTTTTTTGTTTTTCTGGTATTGGGAATTGAACCCAGAGCCTCAAACTTGCTAGGCAAGTGCTCTACCACTGAGTAATACCTGCAGTACTGCCCCCATCCTTTTATTTATTTTTTATCTTTTTTAGAGAGAATTTTTTAATATTTTTCAGTTTTCGGCGGACACAACGTCTTTATTTTATTTTATGTGGTGCTGAGGATCGAACCCAGTGCCCTGTACATGACAGGCGAGCGCGCTACCACTTGAGGCACATCCCAGCCCCACCCTTTTATTTATTTTTTTTTTTAAATATTTATTTAGGGCAGGGGATGTGGCTCAAGCGGTAGCGTGCTCCCCTGGCATGCGTGCGGCCCGGGTTCGATCCTCAGCACCACATACCAACAAAGATGTTTCCGCCGAGAACTAAAAAATAAATATGAAAAATTCTCTCTCTCTCTCTCTCTCCCTCCTCTCTCACTCTCTCTTTAAAAAAAAAAAAATTTTTTATTTAGTTTTTTAGTTATCGGCAGACACAACATCTTTGTTTGTATGTGGTGCTGAGGATCGAATCCGGGCCGCACGCATGCCAGGCAAGCACGCTACCGCTTGAGCCACATCCCCAACCCCGAATTTTTTTAAACTGAGACAAGGTCTCACTAAGTTGCCCAGGCTGGCCTCAAACTTGCTCTCCTCCTACCTCAGTCTCCAGAGTAGCTGGGATTACAGGCATATGCCTCTGTGCCTGGCCCCATTCTGCAATTTTTAGTGGCAGGGAGCTTTGATGTCTCTGGAAAGACTGATTTTAGTGTTGTGAACTGTCTTAAAGGGATCTGTAGAGGCATTGACATGGAGAAGCGGCTGTACCACATCCTGACCCCTGTGCCCCCAGAAGAATTGAGAACTGTGAACTGTCTCCTGGTGGGGGTCATTTCTATTCCACAATGCATCTTCAAGAGCCAGGTAACTCCTCCCTGCCCCACCCTGGGGCAGCCCTGCAGGGAGCCTGATTGGGCCATGGCAGAGGGTGAGCAGCTGACTTGGGGCAGCTCTCTAGGGAGTGGAGCCAATTAGAGTGTCATGTTATCCTCGGAGTCCCGGGGATGCCACCCATGGGGTGTGTGGTCAGAAGCCCCAGGGTGGAGCCATTACTACAGGAAGGGGTCCTGGGAAGCGCATTGGCGGCCTCTGCAGGACTGTCCCTCTTGTGTACAGTCTTCAGAGGCACCCAGCATCTATGCAGCCCACAGTTAATATAGGAGCAAAGGGCCAATAGAGCTGGGTGTTCCTTTGCTCTCACCTGCTTAGGGATGCAAATGCACAGCATACCCACCTCCTCTTCTGGGGTTTGGTGTGTTTGGGGAGCCAAATCAAACAGAAAGGAGGCACTTGCACATTTGTAGGTAGGCCTGTGGCTTCAAGAGGCCTTTTGAAGCCAGAGGCATAGTGGTGCATATCTGTAATCCCAGCCACTCAGGAGGCTGAGGCAGGAGGATCGCAAGTACCAAGGCCAGCCAGTAATACTGTGACTCAAAATAAAAATGATGCAGCTCAGTGGCAAAGTACCCCTGGGTTCAGTTGCCAGTACCACAAATCAGTGAGAATAGTGAGGCCCCTGAGGGAGGGAGCAGTGCCTGCGGCACCAGGCTGAGACCCCTCTTCCCCTCACATTGGCTCCCAGGTGTGGAGAGCACACTCCCGAGGCCCAGGCTGAACAGGTTTCCTTGTGTTCTCTTTGTGTTTCCATTTCAGCGAGGACCTGAAGGGACGATTCCCTACGTCACAACAGATTATAATTTTAAACTTCCTGGAGCATCAGGGAAAATTGGAGCAAGAGAATTTGATGAGACACAGGAAGGGCAAGTGAATCGAAGACCCAGATTCTATCAGAAAAAGTAAACAAATTTCAACAAGGGAAGAGAAGTTTGTACCAGGAGGCTTGGTGTGGAGCCTGATACCAGCAGACCTGGTGGGTTCTGTGGCTAATGATGATGCCCTTATGTACAGGTTTCCTGTGGAATTCGTGAGGGTTGTATATTGAAAGCTGCAAGTTTCTCTCTCAACGCTACGTGGCCTACAACATGGCCCTGATGTTTGTATGGTTGATCATACTTGCAGTCTGGTGTTTTCTAAAGGAATTTAAGGCAATGAGCCAGTCATGGTGCCACACCCCTGTAACCCCAACAACTCAGGAGGCTGAGGCAGGAGGTTTGCAAGCTCAAGGCCGACCTCAGAAAGTTAGGGGACACCCTGTCTCAGAATAAAAAATAAGAAGAGGGGGCTGGAGTTGTGGCTCAGTGATAGAACACTTGCCTAGCATGTGTGAGGCCCTGGTTCAATTATCAGCACCACACATAAATAAAGGTCTATCAACACCTAAAAAGTATTAAAAAAATAAATAAGGAGGGCTGGGGCCTGTAGCTCAGCAGTAGAGCACTCCTGTGCCCAGTGCCACAAAAAACAAATCAAGCAAGCAGTGGGGAAAAGTTTGTACACTATTAAAATAGAAAGAATTGGGTCAGTTCCTCAAAAAATTCTTCTAGGATCTGGTTATTGGAATATCAGGATAAAAATAGAGAAATTGGGGGCAAGCCTGCACGCCAAGAAGGTCAGAAACTGATGGGCAAGACCTCTAGCCTGAGGTTGGGAGTGCCTGTGGCCTCAGCGGGCAGGTGCAGGCAGGGAGCCTCCTCTGTCAATGCCGTCAGACTTCTCCCAGCCACGTGGATCATAAGTTAGAAGACTGTATTTGGTCTGTTACTTTAATAGATAAAGATTTGGCATCAAGAACCCTTTTAATCTGAGGCGTCACTCAAATTGTCCTCAAATTTGAAAAAGTTACTGATGACTAAACCTAAACCTGCTTCCAGTTTGGGGAGCCAAATCAAAACCTGCTTCCACTGACACCTCACCTTCTTGAGCTCCAACCTTGGCCAACAGCTCTTGTGAAGAGACCCAGTCACAACCTGGGACAGTTGCACCTAAATCTTGCCTAGGAGCAACTCCGACTCTGCCTTTGGGGCGGCTGTCATCACATTCCCTTCTCCCTGGAAGTGACAGTCCCCATCCTCTGAGAAGTGGGATGTTCCTGCACCTGTTGCTCTGGGGTGGGTACTAAGAAGCATTTCAGACTGCCATGGGGACCAGTGAGGAGTTCCAGCTCCCAGTCCAAGAGGCGGGACACCAGCTCACTTACCAGTGTTTGTCCTGTGGTCACGCCTTTGTGGCCCCTGGCAACCTGCAGACCTGTAGCAGGGCTCACAGATGACACAGGACGCCTCGGGGCAGGATACTCAGACCCATGAAGGGCTCCCTTCTTAGCCTTCACCTTAATCTGAGGGCAGCTGTGTTGTGTCTTTCTGGGTTGTCAGTATAAAGCCACTGTCAGCAAGTCTGGGAGAGGGAACTTTGCTTTTAGCCTTTAATTGTGGACCTTGAAATGTCAATCCCATCCATAAAGAAACCAAGTCAGCACTAGGGGGCGCTGCCAGCCTGCGGTGGAGCTGGGAGGGATGCCTCTCTAGGGATTTGGAGGTTCTGGAGGTGGCTCTTTAGTCAGCTTAGACCACGATGGAGATATTCTCATTGTCAGTGGCCTTCAGGGTGCTCAGAAAGGGTCAGATTGGACTTGGTCCTCTGATTGGGCAGGCTTGAGGAGGTTCAGCAACAAGGGGCTCTCTGGGGGAGGCATCTTTGCCAGGCCCTTGGCCATTTTCTTCAGTGTGATTTCCACAGTGGAACATGCTTATAGATGAATATGACTTGGGAAGTAAAAAACCTTTGGTTAAATGTCAGTTTTATGGTTTTAAAATCAGTTCTTTTACAAAAATCTATCCATGGGAAAAATAAACGTGAAAATAATTGAGAAGATTCTCAAAATCTAAATTGAGAAGATTCTCAAAATCATAAATAAAGATGGTCCAAGTTGTTTCCATTTGTTCTAAGGTCAGACGTCCTGTGAATCAGCTTATCAGTGTGTCCCCTGCAGCCATCTTAAATACTTTTTAAAAAGCCCCTGGAGAAGGCAGTATGACTGGCCTTAGGAGTGCCTGGGGGTTGGCTATGTGTGTACCTGGCCAGAGGTGGCGTGCTGGAGCAGGCCAGGCCACGCAGGCTCAGGGATCCTGCCTCCTCTACTTGGACCCCTCTGATGGGCAGTTACTTAACCCAGAGGACACGCCGTTTCTGCCTGCTAAATGGGGTGAAGACTGAGGGATGTGGGGTCCCTTTTGTTGTACCACATGCTGATTTGGGGGGCGGTGCTGAACCACACCCAGGCCTTGTGCTTGCCAGGCAATGCTGTGCCACAGACCTACCATCCCAGCCTCTGGTGGTGAGGTTTAAAAAGTCATCTGATGGAGTTAGTTTATCCTTTTGTTTACATGGCGATATAGTGACTAAAGCAGCACATTTTGATGGTAGGTTGGGATCCCAGCCCTACCCCTTCCAAGCAGTGTACCTTTTTGTAGGGGGGGTGGGTACTGGGGATTGAACTTGGGGTCACTTAACCACTGAGTTGTGTAGCACTTTGCTGTTGCTGAGGCTGGCTTTGAACTCGTGATCCTCCTGTCTCAGCCTCCCAAGCTGCAGGATTACAGGCATGTGCCACTACACCAGGCCTCTGAGCAGTGTACCTTTTGAAGGAGTTGAGTGACCAAGTCTTCCTTTGAGGTTGGGGTAGTTCCATCTGGGCTCCTGGGAGAGAAGTAGGTGAGGTCCTGGTATAGGGGCCAGCCCAGTCTCTGGCATGCAAGGGATGGTCCGAACTCCTGGTGTGTGGCCTGACTAGGTTATGAGCTAGGCGGCAGACCCCGAATTATGTCCCTCACAGTTGTGTTGAAGGATATGGACACTGCTTGCCCATCTTGCCTCCATTTACACCTGTGGAGGATGATGCAGAACCCCTTCTCATAGGTAGCACCCTGGATCCCAAGAGGCTGCTGTGTCACATCTGTGAGCTTATGAAATTGTGCCCTGTTACAGATGGTTTCCACCCAACTCGTCTATTTATACATGAACTCTGTCATTAAAGATTTTTGAGAACACGAATGTAATTGTGTGATTTTATTCCAGGTAGTTAAGTACCTATAAGGTACTGTGGCAAAAAAATGTAAGGAACTTAATGAGTTAGGGTGCCAAAGCAGGAGACTCTCCGCCACCCAGCAGGTTCCTGTGCTCACTTTCTGTCTGTTGCCTGGGGTTCATCTTATCTTAGTCTTACTGTGTGGGCCCCTTTGTAAGTTAAGGGAGCCACATCCCTTCTGGGCTGCCTTGGAAAGCGCTGGAGAGAACAAGCAGCAG